GGATCTAAGTTACCATAAAAAAATTGTTTTGAGTTTTAAGTTCAATTCTTGTGTATAAATAAGTGTGTGGCATCATATATCCCAGTGCGTGTAACAGAATGGGACAGCCCCCAATTTTATTAAAAGAGCTGAATTTAGAATTATTATTATTCAATAATTGAAATTTTGAGGGACAAATTCTTGATAAAAATTAAGTGTGGGAAAGGAGGATTAAAAAATGTTATGCATAAAGAACACAAAAATTATGTATTTTAGCTTGATGGCAACTGGTATATTATCTTAACTACGGCTGACTGTTTAAATTACAACAGTATTGGTTAGAATAAGTAATAGTAATCTTATTTTGATTAAACATGTGATAATTGCTTTGAATGTTTTCGTTTATGTAGTAGAATTATTAAATCTTTCAAATACATCAACTTGATAGGTATAGAAAGTACCTACAGATCATACATTTAGCTTGTTGCACGTTTAGAAATTAGAAATCTGTTTAAAATTTACTTTAAGAGATGGAATTGTACATGGGCCATGGGACACAATAAACAAATACAATTTTTAATTTTTTATTTATTTTAAATTAGTAGGTATCTATAAAATTGAAAATTAATTTAGAATATGTTAAATTTGTTTTTGTTCATTTAAAATATTTATAAAAAATGTAACAAAAAGTCATATTGATATAAACAAAAAAAAAAAACAATCCAGTTCTGAATAGAATTGATCACAACATCAACTTCAATAATTTATGTTAAAGGATAATTTGATGTTGTACAAAGAATATACATTCACAGTAAGTGTTCAAAATGTTCACCACCAGCTTCTATGCAAGCATTAACCCTTCTTTTCATGTTTTCGAAACACATTATGCAGTTGCTCCTCAGTTACACTTTCAATTTCATTAACTATAGCTTGCTCCAATTCATTCACATCATGCAAACGATTTCTGAATACTTTATTTTTTATATGACCAAATAAAAAGTAGTCAGGAGGTGTGAGGTCTGGAGATCTTGGAGGCCATAATCCTTTACTAATAATTCGGTCATCAAAATATTCTTCCATTAGGTCAATAGTAGCTCTAGCTGTATAAGCTGTTGCTCCATCTTGTTGAAAATAACCCAATTGTAACTCGTCATCCTGTAGCTGTTCAACAAATTCAAGAAAAATATTTCGATAACGTTGGCCATTAATTGTGTCATAGAAAAATATGGACCCTATTATTCTTCTTCTTGAAATTACTATCCAAATACCAACTTTTATGGGATGTAGACTTGTCTCCACAAATGAATGAGGATTTTCAGTTGCCCATGTTCGATAATTTTGACTATTGACATATCCTGATAAGTGAAACCATGCTTCATCAGTAAAAAAAGTTCGATCCAATAAGTTATTGTCATTTAATTGCTCATTGAACCATCGACAGTATTCCATACGTTTAACAAAATCACCAGGAAACAATTGTTGCAGTACTGAAACCTTATAAGGATGCATTGGTAGATTTTTTTTCAAAATCTTATGGCTAGTTCCTACAGATAAATCTAAAACGATGAAATTAGATTATAAGAGAGTCAAGCTCCCAAACACTGTTTTTACCTGCTTGAGCTGCTAACTTTTTTACTGATTTAGTGGGACTTTGCTCCATGCGAATTCGCACATCTTGAACCGCTTCTTCGGTTATTACTGTGGGCCTTCCAGACCCCTTTCCTTTACAAATGCAATTTTTCGTTTCAAAATGTTGAACAAGAATATGTCTATGATGACGAAAACTATCATATTCTATTTGTACAGCTGGAAAACGTTCCTCAAATTGTTGAATGCAACTCTGAATTGAATATGACCAAGTTCCATCATCATTTCGAGATCCACTTCTATAATGTGCCATTAAAATAAAAGAATCTTGTTCCGGTGTAAACATTTTGAGCTGAAAATTATATTGTCAATAAACTTGTATAAAAGTAAATAAATTTACACTTACCGGCAAAAAGGAATGAAAGCACTAATGAGCTCTAAAAAGAACTGATTTGTTTATTATTATTTGAGGAAAAATTGAATAAAAGCGTGTTGACAAAATGTAAAATCAATAACCTTTAAATAATATAAATACACCCAGAAACCCAAATAAACGCTAATGATATTTTTGACAGTATTGACAACGACAGTTGACATATAAGGAACCAAATCAGGCCCTTTCGCTGTGTTTTTGATGCTACCAGATCACGTGGGTTTCGGGTATTGTTGAAGACCCGGTACTATTTTATATAGTAGGTACTTGGCAGTGTTTAAAATTAAATCAAGAGGAAAACAAAGAAATTTTAATTTGGCCACACAGACAGAAAAGCATATTGGAAATAGTAGAAAATTCCTTCGCTAACTTTACTACTGTCTAAAATGAGACGGGAACCGAACTACGGACAAGGACAAAGGTCACGCGATCGGCGAATACATCTAACCATAATTCATCTACCCACAAGAGTACAACCCTAGTCAGTAACAAATTAGACAGCGTGTTGATCTCTTTATAGAGTTAAAATCTCTATGAGTGCCACTCCGTTTTTTAATAATTTCTAAAGACATTGGCGAGGTAATTGTCTCAAAAATAGAAGAGCTCAGAGACCGAACGATAGTAGTATTATGTTGCTTAAAACCATCAGTAAAAAAGCTGTGGTGCAGTTCTACCAAACTGGCAAAAATCATTCCCATTTTAAATTTGGGTATACCGCAAACTATAAATATAGCTACGGGCTTATATCCTTAATAATTCAAAAAAGAATAAAGTAACATGTAGATTATTGCACAGGAACAATACGGCTTTAGAGAGGTACACGGCATCATGGACCCAGGTCCTGATAATGGCACATCAAGTGAAAGAATCATTAAATCAGGGTCTGCAAATGAAGTTTGAGGCGCTAGACAGCAAAAATGAATTTTATAACGTATGAACTCGTAGGTTAATCTACAAAATGCTTATAAATGATTTTTCCAGGCACATTGTAAAAATAATCCAATCATACTTAAAACACAGACAAATTAACGTTAAAATCAACTCCAAAATGACAAGATCATTCATTGAGATAGTGGGAGTACCGCAGAGCTCAGTAATATCGTCACAACTTTACACTATTATGACGTGATTCTCCCATGGTTCATAATGGGGTACGATATATGTATTTTTACAAGTCTCATATCTGCCGAAACTGGAAATAGAAAGGCTAGCCAGCCAGATCTTTTATAATCGATTTAGCTGAAAATAAGATGAAAATTATTTCCACGGCGACCAAATCAATAGTATACTCACCAAACGCAGGGCCGAGGTCAAATTTCTTGGTTTTCAGGTACAAAAAATCGCCTAATTATGCCCTAATTAAGGGCTGGGATATGTAGCGAAATCAAGCAACACAGCATATTACAGGCGAAGATATTCATATTGCCGCCTGTGTGGACCTCCGCTTGTGTACATTGTATAGATACCACTGAACGTTTGCCAATACGTTTTGCACAAGTGCATCTGAAAACCATAGGGAGTTAGCAGATAAGCGAGCAGAATACGAATAATATCAGCGTTGCCAGTTTATACGGCCCGACCTTGTAAAGTTGGTTGAGTCGTAAACCAGCAACGATAGTATTATTCGTTTTCTGCTCACTCTAAGCTAACTCTTTGTAGTTTTCTCATGTTATTCTACAAAGCGTATACGCAAATAAATCAGGTTCACTCTGTGTATTATGATTTTAATTCCGTAAAGCACCGATAACAGTCAAGGTGATATCCTTCCTAATCACTAATACTTCGTCATTCTCAACTATTCTGCTTTTTTTATACATTCTGAACTATTGAATTTACATTATGTTAAAACATCGCCCTTATACAGTACAATTTAAAATTGGTATACCATTAATTTTAAGAACATCCTATGCTTTTTATGATTCTTTTTGTTTTGAAATTTGAGTGTTTTATATTCTTGGGTTGTAGGTGTTTTTTTTTTTATTTTAAAACTACAGTTTATTAATTAGGATTTATAAAGCTTTCGGCCTCTGTTCTGTGCCTTCTTCAGTACTTTAATTATTTATTGAGTTAATAAGTATTAATAATATATCTTATTATTTATTAATAATATTAGTATATTGTGTGTTTATGTAGAATGTTTTTTTTATATTATATCCATGAATAGACAACTTAATTTAGAAAAAGCCTTATGTGTCCAATACATGACTTTCCTGTCTAATTATTACAGCTTTTTTCCAGTTAGTTTATACAAACTAATATACCACCCCTGCACATATTTAGAGAATGAACGAAATACAAAAATTTTCCCCAAAAATTTTGCTCGAAACAGTTCCTATATATTATTTATTACTAGCGGAAATAATGAAAAATTCAAAGTTTAAACATTTTCTCAAATTTTTCCATTCCGGTACATTTTAGAGTAATCATTTGTAAAACAAAAATTATAGAGAATAATATCGCAAACCAATTCTATTTGTAGGATTTTCTTTTCCAATTGTAAATAGTAGAGATATTCCCTAAAATAAAAAAATACCGTATAAAGTACCCGCCAGATGCTTTGACTATGTCCAAAACTTAATTAGTTCATCGCAGAATAAATTAAAGTTTAAACATAAAATTTTGTGTTTTTCTCTTTATCCCTTTTTGAGTCATCTTCAAATTTCCAAAAAGATTCGTTTTGAAGCCGTTTAACTCTAATTTTACACAAAGTATAATAAATTTGAATCTTTTGTCTGATGTTCGTAAATAACCGTAGATAACCGTTGTCTGTATAAAGGCAAGCAGATGGATTTTATGCATGAATAGTTTTAAAATTTTCTCTTATCAGAGCTGACGCCATAAATTTATCTTCCTCTTAAAATTATTATCAAATGGAAATTTTTGGGAAAATTATGATGTTTTACCTGCATTTTAACATATAGATTATGAAAATATGCAAGAAATAATGCAATAACTTCATTAATAATAATAATTTAGCATACTAATATTCGTATATCCATATATAAAGCTTGCTGAAATTTTAGCCTGTACTTGAACTCAAAGACACTTAAGTTCAATATGAAAATCGTATTTACTTGTTTATTTGTAATTTTTGCAATGAATGCTATAGGCCTTATTGAAGAAGCGGAAGGTAAGCAATATTTTTACATTATAAATTATAATTAATTGTAGAATTTAATTTGTTTTTCAATTTATTACTTCCTTTGATTGTTCTTGTTCATTCCATTTAAAAGTATTTATAAAACTTAGTTAATGAAACACGACGTAAAATAATACATAAAGGTGATAATTAGGTACAGAAGTTTCACTACTTGCTTGTAACTTCCAATTTCAACAAGAGTTAATCATTTCTTGAGGATGCCAACTTAATTGGTATAATAATTTCTCGAGGTGCTATAAATTCTGTTTTGAAAATAAGACTATTTTTATTATTTTTTATTGTATCAAAAGTTTTATTGTTGTTTAACTTAACACATTTACTTATAGGTGGCGTGGTTTCCTGTACCATAGGCAAACTTCCCCTAAAGGTAATACAACTAAATGATGCTGCTTGCGCAGCCAAGTGTTTACTTCAACGCCACAAAGGAGGTTATTGTGAAGGGGTCCATTGTCGTTGCCGCGATTAATAACTATGGAATTTTGCAATAATTTTTTTAAAAATGTTTAATAAATGAATTTGAGAATAGGTATATATTTTATTTTCCTCTCTATTTATCTTCTACCCACTGAACTTCATATTAAACAAGAGGTGCTACCTGTAAATAGTTGGAAAAAAGTTTTTTTGACCAAGACAGCAGCGCGGTAAGCTTGTTATGTTGAACTAAAACCTCCGCAAACTAGAACACTATTAAGTAAAATTATTAAAAAAAATTGGCTCTTCCATATTTATCATTTGTATGGCAACCCGAAGATAGGATATGTGTAAAGGTGCGATTTCGATGACGCGGCTGGCTGCGGCGGCTAGTAGCTGCGTCTCCAGCCGCTGCACTGGTTTGTACAGTTTCAAATGGAACCAATTGGACGTAGTTATGTAGAAATGATCCAATCCATAAATCTACCAGAAATGTCTGGAGTAGCTTTTCGATATGTTACAGTCCAAAATTATATTCTGCTGAAACGATTCAACAATTTAGAAGGATATTAACAGTGAAAATTATACATACTCCCTATATATTCTATTTTCGTCGCGTAGAGAATTTAACTTTAATATCATTTTTCTCAAAGTATGGTTTGGGTGGATTGGATCATTTTTGCATGACTACGTCCAATTAGGCTTGCGCAGCGCAACTAAAGCGGTGGCAGCCCGCGCTGCAGCGGCTGCTGTTCGACTGCTCGCGAAGCAGTCGAGCGGCTGAAATCGTAGTGACTAGGGCAAAAAATAGCGCCATTTACGTCAAATGACGATAAAATTTTAATCAACGAAATACAAAAATATCCCGTAATTAATGATTATGAAGACAAAAATTACAAACATTTTGTTATTAAAGAAAATTGTTAAAAAAAGGTTGCTACAGAATTAAAAAAAGAAGGTTAGTATCATATTGTAAACAAATTTATGCTATTTTAATGGTTAAAATCTGCGAAATGACTTGTAAATTTTAATAGCGTAGTTATATTTGTTAGCTAATTTTTCTACCACATACCTACCGGAATTACTACCCTTCCTCCATATAAACTAAAATCCGGTAAAAAATGACTGTCGTCTGCCAGAAAACTGGCGGGAACGCTCCGAATTGTCTGCAAACTATCAGCATCTTTTATATGCGATTAGGAATTTCACTAGAGCTTGTTTACCAGCGATTATTTCACAAGAGCTATTTAACAGCGAATATTTTTTCGGTTCCTACGTCATACCTACATATTTTTATATTTTGAGTTTCTAATTATTTGATCAGGCTTAAATCGGAAAAATTCCCTAAACTTTTTTTCATCTTCTTTTAGATGATTATTTATTAATAAATGAAAATATATTTCCTCGCGTCGCCTTTTAAACATTTCATCTACTTTACACCTTTTTCTAGATAACATTTGGTAAAATTCCTCTTCATCTTCCTCTTCTTCTAATAAAATTATTGTTATCAAATCGTCGTAATCCATATTTTTTAATAAACCCCGCAAAAATTTAAAATGACAAAAATGCTACAGTCCGCAGTCAACGGCTGCCTAGAACTGCGTCACCGAAAACATCTTTTTCTACGACCGTGTATTTTTACCCACTTTCCCGCACGCATTTTAGTTTTGAAAGTGTCACTTTCCCGCACTAGTGCGGTAAAGTAAAATTATGAATATTTGGCCTTACCTATTGTATAGTTTTTTTACCTCGGATGTTATAACTATTGTTACAATAGGTAATTTAGTATTTTCCAACTATTCCATTTAATAAAATTTACATTTTTTCTTGCTTTTTGTTATAATTTTAATTTTTTGGAAAACTTGAATAATAGAGATATTTTTATATATTTTCTGTATATTTTTAAAAGTCAGACTAGGCTGTGACATGTATGGCTTGATATGGTTGCTATATGGTAACCAAGGCGTGTTTACAAAAACGTCAAAGTTTGTTGAAGCGTCAACTGAATTAAAATAATTTAAAGAAATAATGGATTCATCGGATGAAGAGTTGCCCGAAGCCATTTTAAAAGCTGCAAATGAAGCACATTTGGAGGTGTTACCTGCCAAATCACAAGGAAGATATGAAAAACAATACGACCATTTTGTCACATGGTGTAAACAGGAAGGGGTAAAAACCTACAAAGAAGAGGTGTTTCTGGCGTATTTTTCGCACCTAAGTAAGTTTTTGAAATCTAATACTTTATGGTCTCGCTATTCGATGGTGAAAAGTTTAGTAAAAATAAAACAAAATTTGGATATAAGCCAGTTCCATAAGTTAACGTCATTTCTAAAACAAAAAAATGTTGGTTTTCGAGCACAGAAGGCGCAGGTTTTTACCAAAGAAGATATATCCAGGTTTATGTTAGCCCCTGATGAGGTATACCTTATGATTAAAGTGAGTACCATTTTTGCTTTAGCTGGTGCTCTCCGCAGAGCGGAGCTTGTAAATATCACTGTCGATGATATACAAGATAAAGGCAATCTGATAGTTGTGAAAATTTCCGATTCCAAAAATCATTCTTCAAGATCATTTGTTTTATGTGAAAAAATAAATAATGGAAACTTTCTGAAGCTGTACAGAAAGTACGCAGGTTTACGACCACCTACCACTCCGCATCGCCGCTTTTTTATTAATCAATTCAGTGCGTTGGCGTAAACACCTTTGGTAAGATGGTAAGGAGGAAGAAAAAGAGAGAGGCGTAGAAAAGAGGTGGTTAAAATTATGAATGATTTGCTACAAATTCAGAAAACCTTCAAGTAAGAGGTTATTCAGCTTAAAATTAGAGTAGATCTGTTAGAGCAACAACAAGAGAGCATTTAAAAGCTAATTTAGAACAGCACCAAGAGCATTTAAAAACTAATTTAGACCAACAACGAGATAATTTAAAATAACAGAAAAAGGCTAAAGTAGAGTTCGAAAGGCTAATTAGAACTGATCTAGTTGAGTTAGAAAAAAGAATTCGTAGCCAGGCAACAGAGAAACTGAAAACACTACCTCGTCCTCATCTATAACCAAACCAAGCCATATCCGAAACCCAGTTTCACAAATCCATACTAGCAAGACCATTAAGCCACCCACGTTTGACGGTCAGACAATATGGGAAACGTATCGACTCCAATTTGAAGCTGCAGCTAGAGCCAATGACTAGAGCGGCTTCATTAATAGTGTCGTTGCAAGGACAGGCAGCAACCGTTTTAAAGTTGCTTTCTCAAGAAGAACCCAGTTATTCATCTCTCGTCCAAGTTTTGGAGACAAGATATGCCCAGCTGCATTTGAAACGAAATAATAGAAATATATAATATAAATAAATAAATAAATAAATAAATCGTTTCACTTGTTTCATGAATTCATATATAATAAATTATTTACTCAAAAAAATTATCAATTGGAAATTTTGGGAAAACTATTGCGTTTAACCTGCGTTAAAATATATTAAAAATTATACATTATAAAAATATACAAGAAGTAAGGCATTTATTGAAATACTAGTAATAATTTAGCATTATATTTAGTGTGGTAAATTGCATATAAAGCTGGCCAAAATTTCCATTAGTACTTGAACTCACTCTCGTAAGTTTAAAATGAAAATCATAATTACTTGTTTATTTGTAATTTTCGCAATGAATGCTATAGGCCTTATTGAAGAGGCAGAAGGTAAGCAATATTTTTAATTTATAAATAATTTCCTATTTGCAGAATTGCATATGTTTTCTAAACTTATTTCTTTAATGAAATGTTCTTGTTCATTTTATTTAACAGTATTTAAAAAAAATTAGATAATGAATCACGACGTAAAGTAATACATAAAGATAATAATTGCAAGTTTCAACAATTTTTTATTACTTCCAAATCCGTTCCATTTTAGATCGAGACAATTTGGCAGGGGAAACATTTGCTGCAACATAGTTAGGCGGAGACAAATACATAAGAGCTAAGTTAGCACATGGTCTAATAATAATAAGTGAAGTAAGTGCGTGACAAAATATTCCAGTGTTCTAAAAAAAATAAATAATTTACCTAACTTAATTTTTCTAGATCGCGGGTCGCTAGACAAAATATATACATACAAAAAATAAAGCAAACCTAACTAAATTATCTAATATTTACGACCAGAAGCCATATATAGCAACTCGCAATGGCTCCAGGCCGCACAGGTTAGGTTTGTTAGTAATTTTTTTCTAAATACAATACAGGATTATTTTGTCACGCACTAATTTGTCTCACTATAAGTTGACCCGGCGTTGACTTGTCTCATTTTTATTTAAACTGGAATGAGCAATTTGATTTCTTTATCTATGATTTGGTACATCGTGTTCGATTACTTTAAAAATTTAAAATGGCAGTGTGCTTAATACTTCTTTTCTAATTACCTTAATAAATCAGTTTTAGGACTAACTAAGCAATTCTATTATTTTTCGTGTTTAATTTTTTATTTTCATTACTGTTAATACCAAAGCAATTAAATCATTTCTGATCAAGATTAACTAGACAATAATATGTATTTCTTTTTGACAACAGGCTGCAAATATTTTCCATTTAAAACAACGAAAATAGTTGGATTTAGAAAAAAATAACTTAGACAGAATAACAATGGCTTAAAACTATATAAAATAATTATTATTGGGTACTCGTACCTACAATATTAATAAAAAAAAGTATAGAAGCAAAATATAGCATGATAACAAAATATCTTGTCATTGCAGACAAAATTGGTATGGTGACGATCAGTGTCTCTTTGAATTGGTGTCTGCTTATTTAATTTCAAACCACTTGTCTGCAAACATAAACCTAAATTTTGCTGTATTTTACCTGAACCTTTATCCAATTAGATAATTGAAATATATACAAAAAACTAATATTAAGAAAAAATAATATAAATATAATTATCAACATCTGGAGTTTTCGGATAGCCCACAATATGTCATCTAGGTATTATAATATTGTTACGCAGGTTTTGATACCTCAATTTATTTCAACTCAACTTTACAATTCAAATATTTAACTGATAACATGAACGTATAACGTTAAACATAAAACTGATCATCGATTTATATAGCTTGCTTAATCATTCTAGAACCTTCTCGAACTGTCCAGATTTTCGTTGACAAGGTAGACATTTCCAGACATTTCTGGACTATTCTAGCTTCTTTTGTTATTCGTACTTTTGTTTGTTACGACCGCAGAACACTAAAGGGTGATGGGTGACATTGCACTTCGTGTTGTATTCGTACGTTTCCTATAACAGCCACAGGCTACTGCAGGGTGCAGGGTAACATTGCTTTCTCTTCTCTAATCATTCGTCTCGAATAACTTGTTTACTGAAACCTGATTGGAACCAACAGGATGGATCTGGACCACGATATGTCGCTAGTTTTTCAATGTGAACTACCTTGAGTTTATTTCGCGATAATAACTGAATACGGTAGATCAGGTTGTTGATTTTCTTAAGGACGGTGTAGGGGCCTTCCCAGTTCCGTTGCAGTTTCTGGCAGAGTCCTTTTCGGTGCTTGGGATTGTACAGCCATACCGGTTTGCCTCTCTTGAAATGTGTAACTGTGGCATGCATGTCGATTCTAGCTTTTACTTTATCGCTGCTGACGTTCTCCTAGCGATTCCGAAGACCTTTCCTGATCGTTCTCTTATGTTCTGTATGCACGCGGAAGTTATACGACCCTCTTCTTCACCAGGCGGCTGCCTTCCAAAAAGAGGATCATAAGAAAGTATCATCTCCCTTCCAGTAATCATCATAGATGGAGTATAATTGGTCGATTTATGTTTAGAACTGGGGTAGGCTAGCAGAAAAACTAAAGTGTTCCAGTAATTTTTTTTCTTAGAGACGAACATTAAGAGATATGACAATTGATTCTCTGGTGTCTTTCTACCATTTTGGCGCACTGTGGGCAGAGAGGCATAGTGAGTGTTTTTCTGATGCTTAATAGCTTCATCAATTCTTACCAAAGTTCTAATTCAAAATTTTGTTTTTGGTTAGGATGCAGTTACAGAGGGACTCCATGTCTCGCTATGACGTTTGTCATAAATGCTTCGGCCACTGTCGTCGCTTCCTGATTAGGAATGGGCGCCATTTTGAAAAATAGTCCATAACGACTATCAAGTATTTGTTTGCCCTTTCTGTTAAGGGAAGTGGTCCGAGGATATCCATGGCGATTCGTTCGAAAGGCTCTCTGGGAAGGTACTGTGTCATTTTACCTCGACTTCTTGTTGAGGGCCTTTTTCTGCCATTTCATAGATCACATTTTTTACACCAATCTTCTACATTCCGTCGGCAATTGACCTAATAAAATCTTTTTCGAACTCGTGCCCGCGTCCTTGTAGTACCAAAATGTTTTCCTGAACGGCTGCTATGAAGCTCCTCCAACCCACTTCTGACATGTGATTTCGGCAATACCACTTGAAGGGCTACATGTACCAAGGCTCTACCACTTTTGGTGCAAAAGGCCATGGTAAAGATACAGGGACTCCCAGTCCAGCACCCTTTAATAGCTTCACTGTATTTAGCTATCTCTTGCCAAGTAGGTACGACTTTATTTTTAAGCCATTCTCGGACAACCTTCAAGTCATTGTCTGTCTTCTGCCCCTTTTTCAGGCTTTTAAGGGTAATTTCTTCATCTTCGTCCTCTGGCTTGATAGTGGTTGCAAGAAGAGTAACTTTATCAACCGGTTCCTCTCATTCCCCGAGCCCTTTACTGTGCCGACATTGTCGTTCTAAACAGGGTCGCCTAGAGATAATGTCTGCGTTCCTTCGATGTTCTAATTCCTGGTTATTACTATAAAGCCGGTTTTTACAAGGAATTAAGTTAATCCATCGATCAGTTCCGCTACTGGGTGTTTATAATTTAAAAGGAAATATTTTAATATTAAATTGTAATATTTCAAACTAAAAATCCTTAAATATTACATTTTAAACCCTAATGTATAATAAATTCAATTCAAGTTAAAGTTAAAGTGTACCGTAATATAGTTCTTTAAGCGACTGTCATAAAATATGACATTTTACGGATTCATTAATTTACTTTACGGCCGCTTTTTATAAACATAGGTTTATCACACTTATTGTTAGTAATTCTGTACAAATTTTATTAGTTGACGACGGATCAATAAAAATTTTAAACAATTCTTGCATTTAAGCCTCTTTTCTAAAACAAGAATGACTCTACTTGATGAGACAGTCGCCAAAAAAATGTTGTGTGCACCTCGGCCGTATGATCTTCTTTAGCCGAATCAGAAATTTGCGGCCGAGGAGAAGTCGAGTACAAGAAACTTCTAGCCTTTACGGCCTTGATAAACAAATTACTATTTTATGTCCTTTTCAGCAATGCAGAAGAATAAAAACAAATTGTTGTTTAAGGTCGCAAAAATATATTGATTTTTTATTAATCCGAACCTAGATATTTCGTCTAGTTGGTATGTTAGTCGTTTGGCCACTTTAAGAATAATAAATTATAATGGTACATAATCCGAGGAAAACTAAATTCGATTGTTCAGGACTAAATGGCCTGTGTAACCGAACCAAATAGCCTGTGTAACCTACCATAGAGGAGGATGGAGAACATTTATAACAATTTATCAATAAATAAACCTATAAATTTCAAGAAAAACATTTATATTAAAAATTAACATTGAAACGCCATAAGGCAACTTTACAGCCAAAAATAACATATTTGACCTAATTTCTGACACTAATGAGAATGATAAAAATAAAGTATGTAACCCTTAGATAAAACTGGTACAATAAAAGTTACATCAAACAATTTAATTGTTAAACTATAAGCAAATTAAACATCACACATAACCTAAAAAACCCCATGTAAAATGTAAGGATATAAAAGGCTTTTAAAGCGTAAAATTAGATTAAATAGATATTTCCAAATAAGATTAATTAATACATAATAAAATTATTACATAAAAAGTAAATAAAACGACAATAAAAGCATTTTATAATTCATCAAATTGGGGTGACAATTTGATTAATTGTAAAGTTAATATAAGACGGATCAACATAAAATTTATATTAAAATGATCGCAAAAATAAACTACATAATTCTATGAACTCGAATCAGTCCAAGAAACATAAAATAATTTAATGAATTGGCTAATAAATTTAAAATTTATCGAAAATTGCATCTAGTTGGCCATGAGATTGCGATTATATAAAACCAATTTCGCCGGTAGAACGAGGCTTTTTGACTGTAATCGCTTGCCAAAGAAACATGTAGTTCAACAATGTAAAAACAAATGAAGATAGAACCAAAAGTCAACTTAATAAAAGGTATTTACCAGAAGTCCTGAAGTAAAATTGGTAGGTGAAAAGGCAGATAGAATTTTGGAGATCATTCCGAGCCCTGTTTACATCCAACCCATGAACTCCAGAATCTAAAATCTCAACTCCACAGACTTCCTTTATGTTTTCCACACTCCATATTCCAACCAAGACTGACTGTGATTCTCCTGTGATTTTGTGCCCCAGTGATAACAGGTACCAAACACTATAAATAAATAAATAAATAAATATGATCATATTTTCCGCGTTATGACAGACTTATTTTAAATGATAAGATTTTGTAAATATTAAGTTGGAAATATTATTCGTAGGTTATGTCACATGTTTTTTTTTTATTATTCACAGATACGTTAAT